GCTCGTAAACCAACAGGTATTACACATGATGACTACGCAGTAGTCACGTCTGATTCCTGATGATATGAAAATGTGTATTACTTGCCACTGAGTTACCAGTCATGCTTATTATGTCTTACATCTACAAGCACCGTATGGCACTTTGCCTGGAATTTTTGGGTTATCCTAGGTAATTTACACTATGTAAATTACTATGTAAATTAGCTGAAGGGGGTAGGGGAGTTTCGGTGGGGGGAAATAAATGGGATTAAATCTGGAGTATCTGAGAGAGTTAGAGCAAAGGAAGGGGTAGCAGTAATGTTGAATGATCAGTTATGGAAGGAGAAAAGAGAATATGAATGTGTAAATTCAAGAATTATGTGGATTAAAGTAAAGGTTGGATGCGAGAAGTGGGTCATAATAAGCGTGTATGCACCTGGAGAAGAGAGGAATGCAGAGGAGAGAGAGAGATTTTGGGAGATGTTAAGTGAATGTATAGGAGCCTTTGAACCAAGTGAGAGAGTAATTGTGGTAGGGGACCTGAATGCTAAAGTAGGAGAAACTTTTAGAGAGGGTGTGGTACGTAAGTTTGGGGTGCCAGGTGTAAATGATAATGGGAGCCCTTTGATTGAACTTTGTATAGAAAGGGGCTTAGTTATAGGTAATACATATTTTAAGAAAAAGAGGATAAATAAGTATATAAGATATGATGTAGGGCGAAATGACAGTAGTTTGTTGGATTATGTATTGGAAGATAAAAGACTGTTGAGTAGACTTCAGGATGTACATGTTTATAGAGGGGCCACAGATATATCAGATCACTTTCTAGTTGTAGCTACACTGAGAGTAAAAGGTAGATGGGATACAAGGAGAATAGAAGCATCAGGGAAGAGAGAGGTGAAGGTTTATAAACTAAAAGAGGAGGCAGTTAGGGTAAGATATAAACAGCTATTGGAGGATAGATGGGCTAATGAGAGCATAGGCATTGGGGTCGAAGAGGTATGGGGTAGTTTTAAAAATGTAGTGTTAGAGTGTTCAGCAGAAGTTTGTGGTTACAGGAAAGTGGGTGCGGGAGGGAAGAGGATCGATTGGTGGAATGATGATGTGAAGAGAGTAGTAAGGGAGAAAAAGTTAGCATATGAGAAGTTTTTACAAAGTAGAAGTGATGCAAGGAGGGAAGAGTATATGGAGAAAAAGAGAGAGGTTAAGAGAGTGGTGAAGCAATATAAAAAGAGAGCAAATGAGAGAGTGGGTGAGATGTTATCAACAAATTTTGTTGAAAATAAGAAAAAGTTTTGGAGTGAGATTAACAAGTTAAGAAAGCCTAGAGAACAAATGGATTTGTCAGTTAAAAATAGGAGAGGAGAGTTATTAAATGGAGAGTTAGAGGTATTGGGAAGATGGAGGGAATATTTTGAGGAATTGTTAAATGTTGATGAAGATAGGGAAGCTGTGATTTCGTGTATAGGGCAAGGAGGAACAACATCTAGTAGGAGTGAGAGGCTCAAGTTAGAGTATGTAGGAAAGAGGGAAATTATTTCCCAGTAAAAGTAGGCCTTAGACAAGGATGTGTGATGTCACCGTGGTTGTTTAATATATTTATAGATGGGGTTGTAAGAGAAGTAAATGCGAGGGTCTTGGCAAGAGGCGTGGAGTTAAAGTGGGAGTTGTCACAGTTGCTCTTTGCTGATGACACTGTGCTCTTGGGAGATTTTGAAGAGAAGTTGCAGAGATTGGTGGATGAATTTGGTAGGGTGTGCAAAAGAAGAAAATTGGAAGTGAATACAGGAAAGAGTAAGGTTATGAGGATAACAAAAAGATTAGGTGATGAAAGATTGGATATCAGATTGGAGGGAGAGAGTATGGAGGAGGTGAATGTATTCAGGTATTTGGGAGTGGACGTGTCAGCGGATGGGTCTATGAAAGATGAGGTGAATCATAGAATTGATGAGGGGAAAAGGGTGAGTGGTGCACTTAGGAGTCTGTGGAGACAAAGAACTTTGTCCTTGGAGGCAAAGAGGGGAATGTATGAGAGTATAGTTTTACCAACGCTCTTATATGGGTGTGAAGCATGGGTGATGAATGTTGCAGCGAGGAGAAGGCTGGAGGCAGTGGAGATGTCATGTCTGAGAGCAATGTGTGGTGTGAATATAATGCAGAGAATTCGTAGTTTGGAAGTTAGGAGGAGGTGCGGGATTACCAAAACTGTTGTCCATAGGGCTGAGGAAGGGTTGTTGAGGTGGTTTGGACATGTGGAGAGAATGGAGCGAAACAGAATAACTTCAAGAGTGTATCAGTCTGTAGTGGAAGGAAGGCGGGGTAGGAGTCGGCCTAGGAAAGGTTGGAGGGAGGGGGTAAAGGAGGTTTTGTGTGCGAGGGGCTTGGACTTCCAGCAGGCATGCGTGAGCGTGTTTGATAGGAGTGAATGGAGACAAATGGTTTTTAATACTTGACGTGCTGTTGGAGTGTGAGCAAAGTAACATTTATGAAGGGGTTCAGGGAAACTGGCAGGCCGGACTTGAGTCCTGGAGATGGGAAGTACAGTGCCTGCACTCTGAAGGAAGGGTGTTAATGTTGCAGTTTAAAAACTGTAGTGTAAAGCACCCTTCTGGCAAGACAGTGATGGAGTGAATGATGGTGAAAGCTTTTCTTTTTCGGGCCACCCTGCCTTGGTGGGAATCGGCCAGTGTGATAATAAATAAATAAAAAAAAGTATTATTGTACAGTGGTACCTTGGGATACAAACTTAATTTATTCCAGATGGCTGTTCGAGTGCCGATACCGAATGAATTTGTTCCCATAAGGAATAATGTAAATTAGATTTATCCATTTCAGACCCCCAAAAATACACTTACAGAAGCACTTAAATAAATACATACACTTACATAATTGTTCGAGTTTTGAGCTGCTCATATCCCGAAGTACCACTGTATTTATGTGTACATGTGAGAGAGAGAGAGAGACAAAGATATAGTGATATAGACAGATATAGACAGAGATATAGATAGACAGAGGTATAGTCAGATACAGAGAGACAGTGAAAGCCAACCAGCCTGCTGAATACATATTACACATGTTCCAGAATCATTTTTATAGTGTATAGGATATTCTGGCAGGATGACACTACCAGCGATTTAAAAAAAATGAAAGGATGTTGCACAAATGTTACACATGGGCTATTATCGAGGTTATTGATATTTCCTCGACCACTTGAGGCCACATCCATCACTTTCCTCTTAAAAGGGGAGTGTTAATATGACATTACATCAGTGAATCCCTGGTGTTTGCTGCACTATTTGCTCTAGCTGGCACTCAGTTGAATTGGTGCTCCCATAAGGTACTAAGTGGTCCCAGACTTTTTTTAATACTGCGCACACCAAGTGTTAAGACCCATTCTATACTGACCAGGCATCTCAGGCCAATCATGCCAAATTTGGAGGCAGGAAAAATAAAATGTAACTCTATGTTTGGAGCATTAGCGGTACAAACGTAGATCTATGTTTAGACAGTTTAAGGGTTAAATAAGGTTGATGTGAGAGGAAGTGAGGAGAATTTTCACCTAGTGGAGCAGGTACTCAAAGAGATGAAGATGAACAAGTTTAAAAAGAATCAGGAGGGATGGAAGCAGTTTCAGATGTATCTTATAGATCCAGGAATAGGGTTAAGAGTATCAGTAGTTCTTGTACGTGTCTTGCATGAACAATAGAATGGGTTCTAGGATGCTCCAGTACTTGTACAGGTCCTTCTACACCCTCAAAGAGTTCCATGAGCTTTTGAAGACACGACGAATATAGGATTATATATTGTAGATGGGAAAATGTCCATCACCAGTTTCAGGATGGGGGACAAGGAAGGAGTGCCAACTGACACTGAGCAGGAAAGGTGTTGGGAATGATATCCCCTCAAGGATCCGAACAAAGAAAATTTGTTGCTGTTCAAGGAAGGTGAATAACAGCACATGTCCACAGGGCTGTAGATAATGATTAGTGTGTTGCTTCAGCATTTAAGAAAGAACACCAGATGATGATGTAAACACTGGTGTAATACTTATGCTGCAAAACCATAAGAGGCAGAGGTGGTGGGATGAATGTACTGAAAGTAGAGGACAGTACCTTTTGAAGATTATTTGGTATCATTGTTTTTATTACATATAATGTAAATTGCCATAGTGGTTTGGTGCTACTTCCAAACTTATCCTAATGAAAGAAAACCATATGAGGTGCTGGGAAGAAAACTGATAAACTTGCCAAAAGTTGCCTTTCAGAAAATCACAGACTTTTACAACATATTTGCAACAGTATCTTGGTAACCAACCATACAGTTTTCATCAAATTAGTCATATTTTGAAGCAAGTTTAAGGTGGTGTAGTGAGTACAATTGTTTGTGTCCTTGGGAGACAAATCACTGTTTTGGATTTGATTGTGTGGTCAAACATCTCTTTATTCTTAATGGGAAAAGATGGGTTAAAAGTGACACCGTCACCAATCTGAGTGGTATATATTATACTTGAAAGAATGATGAGCATTTTGGTATAGAAAATGCAGTTTTTGCTCTCTGTCAATTTTGTCAATTTTCTCTCAGTTTCTTGTATCATGTAATGTGAAAGATAATACCTATAAATTAAGTAGATTATTACCCAACTAATTATTCATTTACAGTGATATACCCTTGTAGTCTTAAGTTAGGCTTCATCTTGCCCAGAATGCACTGCATAACTATTGGCTTGCAACATGCTCTCAAGGGCAGAGACAGTTCAACTATGAAACTAATGAAGCTTGAACTTCAGGGCCCCTAATCCTGGAAGGGCCTCAGAAGTGACTTTAGTCCACATTGCTTAAAAATTTTTTGGTCTACTGTATGAGAAGAGGTTACAAAGGGGCCCCCATAACAGTTCAGACTTCAGGGGCCCAAAACATAGGTCTGCCACTGCTCAAGTGTTACCTATTTCTGTATAAACAATATAACATGTTGAAATAAACTTGTATAATGGTCTGGCTTTGACTCCTTGTTTTTTTTTCCAGGATGGATAAGAGTGCTGAAACCCACGAATATATTGGAAAGGTTGAGAAGCATGTGTCACAGAAGGACTATGCCGCAGGGTTTGGTGGCAAATATGGCATCCAGTCGGATCGTCAGGATCGTTCTGCCGTTGGATGGGATCACATAGAAAAAGTCGATAAGCATGAGAGTCAAAAAGGTTAGTCATCTTGGCATTCTTCTCCATTCTAATTGTCTCTCACAGTTTTAACTACACACATAATATTATTATGTAATGACTAACTCACTCTAACACACAATTAGAAACTTGTATATTATAAATGAATTGCATTAATATTTACAGTTTTGAGAGTAGGGGGCTGGTAAACCCTTCTCCTGTATAAATTAGCAAATTTAAAAAGGAAAGCTTTTGTTTTTCTTTTTAGGTCACCCTGCCTTGGTGGGATATGGCCGGTTCATCAAAAAAAGAAAAGTTATTTCCTTAATTTAAATAATCATTTCAAATCCTCCAGAAGAGAACATAAAAGTCAACTCATTAATAATATTTTTGATAATGATGAATATGACTTAAACACACACTGTGTTTCCCTCCTGTTCGTTATAGATTACTCAAAGGGATTTGGAGGAAAATTTGGTGTTGAGAAAGAGCGCCAAGATAAGTCGGCCTTAGGCTGGGACCATGTACAGGATGTTGAGAAACATGGTTCTCAGATTGGTAAGCTTGTTGTAGGTTCACCCTCATGGTTCATTGTTGTAGAACCCTGACCAGTGTTGTAGGTTCACCCCCACAGATCACTGTTGTAGAACCCTGACCACTGTTGTAGGTTCACCACCATGGTTGACTGTTGTAGAACCCTGACCAGTGTTGCAGGGTTAGCCCCATGGTTCACTGTTGTAGAACCCTGACCAGTGTTGTAGGTTCACCCCCATAGTTCACTGTTGTAGAATCCTGAACAGTGTTGTTGTACTCTGACCAGCATTGTAGTACCTTGACCAATGTTGTAGTATGCTGACCAGCATTGTAGTACCTTGCCCAGTGTTGTAGTACCATGACCAGTGTTGTAGTACCTTGACCAGTGTTGTAGGGTCACCCCCATGATTCACTGTAATAGTACCATGACCAGTGTTGTACCCCAACCAGTGTAGTAGTATCCTGACCAATGTTGTAGAACCTTGACCAGTGTTGTACCCCAACCAGTGTAGTAGTATCCTGACCAATGTTGTAGAACCTTGACCAGTGTTGTAGTACCCTGACCAGTGTTTTAGTATTCTGACCAATGTTTTAGTACCCTGACCAGTGTTGTAGTATGCTGACCAGTGTTGTAGAATTACTCCCATGGTTCAGTGTCGTATCCTGACCATTGTTGTAGTACCCTGACCAGTGTTTTACTACCTGATGAGTGTTGTAGTACCTTGACCAGTGTTGTAGAACCTTCACCAGTGCTGTTGTACCCTGACCAGTGTTGTAGTATTCTGACCAGTATTGTAGAACCTTGACCAGTGTTGTAATACCCTGACCAGTGTTTTAGTATTCTGACCAATGTTTTAGTACCCTGACCACTGTTGTAGTATGCTGACCAGTGTTATAGAACCTTCACCAGTGTTGTTGTACCCTGACCATTGTTGTACATGATTCCTGTGGTTCACTGTTGTAGTGTCCTGACCAGTGTTGTAGTACCATGACCAGTGTTGTTGTACCCTTACCAGTATTGTAGTACCCAGACCAGTGTTGTAGTACCCTGACCAGTGTTGTAGTACCCTGACCAGTGTTGTAGTACCTAGACCATCATTGTAGTACCATGACCATCATTGTAGTACCCTGACTAGTGTTGTAGTACACCAACCAGTGTTGTACACTGACCAGTGTTGTAGCACACTGACTAGTGTTGTAAGGTCATGCCTATGGTTTATTGTTGTAGTATTGTGACCAGTGTTGTGGTACACTAACCAGTGTTGTTGAGCACTGACCAGTTTTGTTGTACCCTGACCAATGTTGTAGGATCACTCCCACGGTTTATTGTTGTAGTACCCTGTTACGCTTTCTATTGCGTAACTTAAGTAAAAAGTCCTGGCTCCTAAAGGGTAAATGATCTAGCAAGTCTTGGGGCATTTAAATTATTTAACATTGAAAAAGAAACCACTCTCGTGCCAGCTTGCACCTTCACATTAAATGTGGAACATTAATTAGTCAATATTATTATTATAAGGAAGGACACAAAAACTCACCTCTACAATTTTATATAATATATTAATAGTAACGTATATACAACGTACAATCTACGCCACTACAACCAACATCACCACACTCCAGTTCACCTTTACCCAGTACCCACATTAGTTCACTACCACACTGCTACTTTACCCAGTACCCACATTAGTTCACTACCACACTGCTACTTTACCCAGTACCCACATTAGTTCACTACCACACTGCTACTTTACCCAGTACCCACATTAGTTCACTACCACACTGCTACTAGTGAGTAAAACAAAATATATAAACATTTGTAAACAGGGAGGCTCCGTGACACCTCTGTTCCTTTCTGCCAGTATGTCTGCCAACAGGCAAAAACACTATACAAGTACTCTCCCAAAATCTAAACAGGTCTCTAGGGCCTTACAAGTAAGCATGAGAGCACTTCAACACAAATAAAATTACCTATAGTATACAATAAAAAAAAAACTTGCTGCTTCACCTACTCACACCACTACATCTTTCTTCCTCTGCTGTGCTTCACCTACTGCACAAAACACCTCACTGTCTCCCCTGACAACTTTTAAATTTAGAACTTTGCTAAAAAATCATCTCATCTCTCAATATTAACCCTTACAGGGTCCTAGGCCAAAATCTGAAGTGGTGCCCCAGTGTCCAAGAATTTTCAAAAAAAAAAAATTTTTATTTTTTCTTATGAAATGGTAGAGAATCTTTTTGTGAAGGTAATAAAACAAAAAGAACGAAATTTGATGGAAAATTGACGAAATTATGCTCTCACGAATTTTGATGTGTCAGCGATATTTATGAATCGGCGATTTTGCCGACTTTGACTCCCATTTTAGGCCAATTACAATATTCCAGTCGACCAAATTCTTAGCTATTGCACTAGTATTACTTCTATTCTATCGATTGAGCACAAGAAATTGCCAAGTCAACTGTTTCAACTACAAAATCAAGCGATCGGAAATTGGTAATTAGGCCAATTTAACACAAAGTTCAAAATATTCCAATTTCAAAATAGGGTCCAGAATAAACAATGTAGGTATTCCTGGCACTAAACAAACATTTCCTCTGTTTATTAGTTATGTTTTGAGGCTTTACAAATAAATTCCATTTTGATTTTTTATTCACATAATGAATTTTTATTCACACCAAAAAATAGAAGATTTACTGTTATGCAATATTGTAATAATTGTATAAATATCATCACCACATTTGTGAATGTATGTTAGACCCACCAGCTGGCGTGTATTAGACGTGTGAGGTCGTTTGTTTACTCTTGAACATCGGCAAAAATTTAACATTTCCGCTACTTTGAGCTCAGTTCCAAGCCATTTCCAGTGCTAAAACCAATGAAAATCATCTCTATTTCTGTAATATGTCTTCCATTCTATCAAATGAGACCAAGAAATCGCAAATACAACTATAAAAAACATATGAAAAAACGCTGCAAAGTCGCTGTTTTAATCGAAAATCACGGTCTCAGTTTTTTTCTCTCATTATACACAGTGTGCAGCAGGATTTGTCTTATGAGGTGCACACATACCACATAGATGTATTCTCTCATATCTGGGCCCAAGTTTACCACTCACAGTTTACCAGAGTGAGCTGGGCTCATGGCGTAGATCTACGGTTTGGACCCTGAACGTAAAGCGTAGACCTATGGGACGGACCCTGAAAGGGGTTAACCAAATGAACCAAAACATCTGGTAATTAGTTTTATTATATGACCTCCAGGCTTTTTTTGTTTTTTTTTAGCAAGTCAGCCATCTCCCACAGAGACTGGGTGACCCAAAAAGAAAGAAAATCCCCAAAAAGAAAATATTTTCATCATCATTCAACACTTTCACCTCACTCACACATAATCACTGTTTTTGCAGAGGTGCTCAGAACATAACAGTTTAGAAGCATATACGTATAAAGATACACAACATATACCTCCAAACTGCTAATATCCCGAACCCCTCCTTTAGAGTGCAGGCATTGTACTGACGCAAAAATTGAACATTTCCAGTACTTTGAGCACAATTTCAAGGTACTTTTCATCATGAAAGCAATCAAAATCATGTCTATTTCTGTAATATATCTTCCATTCTATTAAATGAGTCCAAAAAAATGAGAATACAACCATAAAAACATACAAAAATATACTGCAAAGAGGCGGCTAATGGCTGAGAAGTGAACTCCCTTATTTATCGTCCGTCTTTTTTATTTTTGTTGTACGTTAAGAAGCAGCTTTCCATCATACATTGCCCAAGTTTCAATGAGATAGCCAACCAAACAACCGAGAAAAAAAATATTTACCAAAAATCATATATGGCAAGCCCAAGCCAGGTACTGGAAATAAGTCACTTTGTCTGACTTTTAGGGGTTATCCTGGGTTCTCTATACATACGCTGCTATTTATGATAATCTATGTAACTGTATTTGTGTATACCTGAATAAAACTTATTTACTGCTAGTCTGTTAACTGAGTACAAGAAACCACCCATTCACTTATTTCAACTACCCAATAAAGTGGTCAGAAATTGGCATTTTGGCTGATTTCACACAAATTTCAACAGATGCCAATTTCAAAATAGGATCCAGAATAAACAATGCAGACATTCCTGGCACTAAAATAACATTTTCTCTGTTCATTAGTCACGGCTACAGGCCCCTCTTATATTACTCTTGCTTACCATTTGGAATTTTTATTCACACAAAAAAATAGAAGATTTACTGTTCTGCAGACTACTGAATTATTGTAATAATTGTATAAATAATGTCAACCCAGAATACGTATTGGAATTTGGACTGGCAGGCGGACAGGTATTGGACGGTGACGCCATTTGTTTACTCTTGAGCTTCGCTAAAGAACACAACATTTTTGCTACTGTGAGCACAATTTCAAGGTACTTTTTGTCATGAAAGCAATCAAACTCATATCTATTTCTGTAATATATATTTTATTCTATCAAATGAGACCGAAAAAATGAGAATATAAACATAAAAACGTACAAAAATATACCGCTAAGCGACCGCTAATGGCTGAGAAGTGAACTCCGCTATTTATGGTCTGATTTCTTTCATTTTTGGTGTACGTTAAGAAGGTATCTTTCCATCATACATTGCCCAAGTTTGAATAAGATAAACCCAACAAAACACTGAGAAAATAATATAATAATAATAATAATAATAAAATAATAATAATATTAATAATAATAATATCTTTATTTACTACACGTACATGTACAAGGTATACAGCCTAGCTGACATCAGTGACGTACTACTATATAGAAGCCACTGTTATGCTGAGTATTTCAAGAAAATTAGGTCAGTGTCCAGGATAACACCCACACCAGTCGGCTAACACCCAGGTACCCATTTACTGATGGGTAAACATGGACAACATATGTAAAGAAAACACATCTAATGTTTCTACTCTGGCTCTGAATTGAATATTTACCAAAAATCATATATGGCTAACCAAGCCAGGTACTAAAAATAAGCCACGTTGA